TCATTTAGCATGGAGTTGCACAAACTTCTGAGAAAGTTACATGTAAATTTTACACTTTTCCTTAATGTGATCATTATTATGGGCACAGAAACCACCATATTTTGAGTGATCTAAGGATTTCACCTGAAAAATTATATTTGTCTCTATCAAAACCAGGTTAAAAAGAAATTGTGAACTATTCCCATCTCATGGATGAGGAAACTGAATCTAAAATAAGTAACTTGTCTGAAGACACATAATATTAAATGCTGAACTTTGGCCGCTATGGAATAGAACAGAAAAAGGATTGGCTTTGCTGTATAATTGATATTCCAAACACTTGTCATATTTCAACACCCTCCTCCCAATTTTGTTATTTTTCTTCTCTTGTAATTAATCCTTTTATTAGCTCATTTAAAAATTTTGTCAGGTTCTTTTAACATCTGCATGGGTGGAAATTCAGATATGATTCAAGGTCAGAACTCTTCCTGGGTTTCTAGAATCACTTAGTTTCTTCCATAATGCCCTTAGGTTTTTTTTGTTTTGTTTTGTTTTTAGAAAGAAAACAATTGTGGTATTTGAATATAACTGTTTTTATAGAAAAAAGGAACAAGATTAAAGGAGACAGGGTTTGAATGAGGCCAATAAAAATATGTGAGCCTGCAGCATTTTGGAGTTTTTAAAGCCTGTGTCTGTAGATTCTCTTCTTGGGGGCTTCCAAAAGTCCAGATGTTCTTGAAAAAAACAGCCATCTTATAAGCCCTTTTTAATTCTTATCATAATTTAAAATGTGCTAATGAACTACCTCAAAGTAGCTATGCTGGAAGGAGGAAGGAAGAGGGGCCTAAGTGCAGCAGTCCATGAAAAATACCATACAGAGACAGGCATAGTGGGGCTCAGGGGTCACAGGGACATCTGTGGCATCTTTCTAGAAGCAGAATGAAGAATCCCAAGGGCTGTTACAACATCTACTTATTAGGTTTCTCCTAGGTTTGTGGGCCATATTTGGCCACAAAATTCTAGCAGACTGGAGTGCAGGGCTTGTCCATGTGTCAGGAAGCTGGCTTATTCGTTCAGACAGGTTTGTGGTTGCAAGAAAGAGAAATACACTCAAGCTATCTGCAAAGGCAAAACAAAAACAAACAAAAAAAGAAATATCTACCCCGCCCCCCCAAAAAAGAAAACAACAACAACAACATGTGTCTATTGAAAGACCCAGCAACCTCTCATAGAAACCAGGGACAAGGGTGAGCAGACTTCATGAGTAGCTGGAATCAGAAAATAGAAGGTTATTTGAAATTAAGAAACTAAATAAATTCCATAACTTTAAATAATATTGACTTTAAAAATTGTTTTTATTTATATATGACAACGGAATGCATTACAATTCTTATTACATATAGAGCACAGTTTTTCATATCTCTGGTTGTATACTAAGTTTATTCACACCAATTCGTGTCTTCATACCTGTACTTTGGATAATAATGATCATCACATTCCACCATCATTTCTAACCACATGCCCCTTCCCTTCCCCTCCAACTCCTCTGCCCTATCTAGAGTTTGTCTATTCCTCCCATGCTTCTTCTCCTTATCCCACTATGAATGAGCCTCCTTATATCAAAGAAAGCATTCAGAATTTGGTTATTTGGGATTGGCTAACTTCACTTAGCATTATCTTCTCTAACTCCATCCATTTACCTGCAAATGCCATGATTTTATTCTCTTTTATTCCTGAGTAATATTCCATTATGTATATACACTACATTTTTTTAATCCATTCATCTATTGAAGGGCATCAGGTTGGTTCCATGGTTTAGCTATTGTGAATTGTGCTGCTATAAACATTGACGTGGCTGTGTCCCTGTAGTATGCTGTTTTTAAGTCATTTGGTTATATACCAAGTTGGTTGTAGAGCCAAACTTCCTGGCCTCAAATTTCAGTGTTTTACCTTCATAGTTGAGTGGCCTTGGTAAGTTACCTTTCCACCTTGTGCTTCATCTGTCTGTCAAGTGCACACAATAATGGTATCTTACAGGATGATTGTGAGAAATAAGTAAGTTAATACACATAGCCTACTTAGAGCAGGGCCTGGCACATAATATATGTCATGCAAGTATTTGTCCTTTTTTTGCTTTTACTGGATTCAAAATGAATGCAGAAAACCCACAACAGACAGAGACAAAAAAAAAAAAAAAAAAGAAAGAAAGAAAGAAAGAAAAAGACAGATGGTTGTTTGTTTTATGACCCTGTATCACTGTGTAATAAGAACACTTGTTTTCAATCAGTGCTAGGTTCCAGGGCCACCTAGCCATCATATCCCCTCCCAAGTTTATAAAGGTTGACAATGATGGTATAACTTATTGAACAAGTCACCTTATATATAATCATGTTTTTTCATTGTAGAACTTATTAACTTTTCTGCTTGGTTTAAGAAAAAACATGTAGGGGTACATAGTTTTCTTTTTGCTTCAGGCCCTGAAGTGGCTTGGCTCAGGATAAGGCAGAGCTGACAGAACTGGCTGATGGTGTGGATGTATGGGATAAGCAAAACGAGGAATCATCGTGGGCTTGTGCAAATGGATGAAGGGTGATGTCAATAACTTGATGTGTGACCTTGGGAGAGAAGAGGCTTGGTGCATAAAAACTGAGTTGTGTTTCTGACAAATCAATTTGAGAGGCTGGTTAGAGACCCACATTGGGATTTCAAGTAAGCTGTTATAGTCAAATCTTTCAGTTCTTTAGGAATCTTGTTTCTGTCTACATGGCTATCTACTCTCTGCCCACCAGCTTCTTGGGCAAGGGTTTTGGATGTTATCTCCAAGTAACTTTGCTTTCATGGTCTTGGTTGACATAGTCTGGACGTGAAATCTTACAATGGCTACTTGTTAGCTTTTTGAGAGGTGTGTGTGTGTGTGTGTGTGTGTGTGTGTGTGTGTGTGTGTGTATTTTAACATATAGTTAGGTAGTGTTACCTGGAAGAGATCTTAAGATCCTTCAACTCTTCAGTTTTTCAGATGGAAAACTAAGTCCCAGAAGGGATAAAGATGACTTCTTTAAGATCTCCAAAACTCCTAGTCCTCATCCTACTACATAAAGTTGCTTTGTATTCAAAGTGAGTATTCTTAATATTTTCTGCTTCAAGGGTCTAATTTGAAAGAAATCTCTTGGGAACCATCAGTCATTTTCCATATATATTTATAAAATAGATACTCCTTTTTTTTTCAGTACTGAGGATTAAATTCTGCCTCACACATGCTAGGCAAGCACTCTACCACTGAGCTATACTCCTACCTCTGTGTGTGTGTGTGTGTGTGTGTGTGTGTGTGTGTGTGTGTGTATGTGTGTAAAACATTGTCCTTCTGAAATCTAAAAATTCAGAACACATGGATCAAAGGAAAAGAGAAAGAGTGGCCAACAAGAGTGAACCTTAGGCACTGCATGTAAATAAATTTGTAACAGGGTCACCTTGGATATGTTATCTGAAATTTTCTGAAAGACAGTAAACATCTTAAGAGTTTTTGTGAGAGAAGTTCAGAGGATGTAAATGCCCAGAAGTAGGAAGTATTAAAAAAAAAATGTTGATCACAAGGCACTTTAGGAATTTCCAAAAGACTCTCAACAAAGTTCTTACATGTAAAAAGCCTTTTGAGCTTAGGCTGCAAAGGATGTACATGGGAACTAACCACAATAGATGTAGTTAGGTTTTGCTTCTGAAGCATCACAGGCCTGAAGAATGAGTGCTGATTTGTGGGTGATGGGAAGAAAGAAGAGGATGAAGGCAAAGAGAGTTGGGGCCACTGAATATAAAAAGAAGGCATAAGGAACAGGGATTTGGGCAGGAACAGGAAGGCATCCCTGTCTTTCAGAATCCATCTCCTGTGCAGGAATCATTTAATGTTTGAATTCACACCAGGGAAGAGAAGGAGTCATCCCTTAGTGACTGAACTAATTTCATACTAATTTCTCCACTCACCCAAACATCCCATGGCTGGTTTTGTTTTATTTGTCTGAGCTTCCCAGCAGGAGGCATTTAGAGCTGGCCACTGAAATTGCTCCAAGCAGACTCATCAGGACAGACTCATCACTGCCATGTCCTGCAAATTGACTACTCAGTTAAGAGGCCAAGTTTGGAGATGCCTATGAGGTTTCCCAGTTTTCCCCTAATATAAAATGGCAGCAACTGGGGCTCCAGACTTGTAGAGTGGAAGCTTTTTCCAATGAAAAACTTGTTCAAATCCTCATGCACGTTTACCTTGAAGGGCGTGTGAAAGTTGCGCGTCTTTCTACCTTAAATGGGACAACCCGCGCACACTGCAGGACGCCCAAAAGGCACCCAATGTATATGATGAATATGGTCTTTGCTATTCTCTTCTCCATCTTCCATTCTCTCTCCTTTCCTTGGGCGAATAAGAAAGTAAAAATCTTAGAGGATCCTTTCATTCCCCTGAGGACCATTAAACGGAGGGGACGTAAGGTCCCAGGGGACTGGAACCCCGACCCTTGCTCTAAGCTTACCTTAAAAGATAAGTACTATACCCCTGCTCCCGGTTGCCAAAGCCACCTGACAAGTTCCAGAAGTGCCTGGTTGTTTTTGGAGGAGGGGTACCCAGGGTGGGGCGTCTAAGACAGAAGATGAGGATCAGGTGTTTCGCGACCGTGGCATGCAAGGAGGAGGCGCTGCAAAGACCCCGCTGCTCCTCCCCCGCCCCGGCTGGGCGCTCTCTGCTGCCCCCCGCGGAGGCGGCCAGGCCCCAGCCCGGGCCCCCCCAGCGGCTCCTCGGGAATGCTGGGAATGTGAGTCAGGGCCTCGGCGAGCAAGAGAGCGCGCTGGCCGGCCGGGCGGGGGCCTGGTGGAGCGCAGCGCCTAGCAGCGCCGCGCGAGCGCGCGTCTCGGGACTGCGGCGGGTGCCGCCCCCTCGGCAGCCGGCCCCGCCCGGCCCCTGCCCCAGCCCTCGGAGCGGTGTCCTCCTCCTTCCCTCCCGCCCTCCAGCTCCCYGGCCCGCTCCTCCTCCTCCCGCTCTGGATCGCTCCGGCTCCGGCGCCGGCTTCGGCACCTCCCGGCCGCCCGGGGCCGAGGCGAYGTGAGGTTGTAAAAATCCATGTGGGACGGCCCCGGGGCGAGCATCGCAAAGGTGAGACGCCGGCGCCGGGGCTGCCCGGTGCCTGGCTCCCTCGAGGCGCCCTGCCGGGCATCCCTCGTGCCGGGTTCCCCTCGCTCGTGGGGAGCTGCAATGCGTTATCAGGGGGAGCCGAGGGGTGAACCATCCGCCTCCACTAGGGCTTTCTTGGGCGGGGGAAGGGTTGGGCGGCCTAAGGGCGGATTTGTCTTGATGTATAAACCCCCGGATTGGAACAAGTGCACGGTTTCCTCAGGCGCTCGGGCGGCCCGGGCCACCTCCTGCAGTCCCTCTCCGGCAGCCACCCTCACTGCCATCACCTTTCTTTTCTCCAGATCCCCCTCTCTTCCCGGCTTGCCCTCTTGCCACGAGGGGTGGGGTGTTCGCAGGGGCAGGGGGCTCGCGGAACCCCAAGCAGAACAAAGTGGTGGAAGGAGGATCCTCAGCCCAGGGGGTGGGGTCCCTGGCTGTCTGGGTGGGCTCTGAGGGGAACAGGTTAAACAAACAAACAAACAAAAAATCCGTGTCAGAAAAAATGAAGCCGGGTTCATTGGGGAGGGTTAGGAGGTGGTGGTGTATGAAAAGGAATACGATGTGAAATTAAACTGGACAGCACTCCTTCTCTCCCTCTCTCCATCTCCTAATTATACAAGAAAATGGGTACTTACGAGGATGTACCTTTTTTTTTTTTTTTTTTTTTTTTAAATTACTGTCCGATCCATTGAAAGATCATTTTAGGACAGTGAAGATTAAGGGCTGCTTTGGGGCGGGATAATAAAATAGCGCTTGTGAACTCTCTGTTCATCCCTGCCTTATTTATTTTGTACTTAAGGGTCTCTGTTCTGCTTGTCAGAGAGGGAGGGTCTTCTCTGTTAGGAGAGGATCGATTTTAGGCGGCTACCTGCCTTTGCTGGATGAAAGGCAATTTACTCCCCGAGCGGTGAATTGTCAGTTCCCTCTGTGATTGACAGCCACACCTGCCACTTATGTGGGTGGAATGGGGACCGGTGGCACCCCAAGAGCCAATCAATGCTTGGGAGAGGAGGGCTGCTCCCACTTGTCTTGGTTAGTTTCCTGGTTGGCTCTTTAAAATCAGTGGTTTTACTTAACCATTGGTTTCCACCAGGTATGGGGCTCCATCTGTGAGAGGCAGACAAGCGGGAAGAAACTCTTCGAAAATGGTATAGCAGCAAGTACGTTTGATCTCTGTTCACTTGTCCAACCCTCCCCCGTTTATTAGTTGTAGTAGTTGGGGATGCTGAGGCCACTGCCTTGAAAAGGAAATGAATCTGTGTAAAGAATGAAATGAGGAGGGGTAATGGGGGTTAGAATTGTCCACCCTTTCTTCCAGAATTGCAGTCTTCTTTAGAAGAGACACCATTTACTGTTGAGCTATCTGGGGAAAGGGTGTGGCACTTTGTCTCCTATGGTCACTCTTGTCCTTGTAAAGTCACATTGTTTCTGAGTGTACAGTACCTAGCCCTTAGCTCTATTGGATGGATTTTAAGGTGTTTTTGAAGCAGGAAAACGTGCTGTATTAGTACCAACATGAACAGAAGGGATTTTTTTTTCTTTCTAGTTTTGACAGTGTAACACAACTTAGGGGAGTGAGGTCTGCCTTGTTCTCTTTTCTGGTGTGTCAGTTTGGAGGTGACTGTGGGGTCAAGATATATTCTTTCTGGAGAGTAGAAGAGTTTGCCTTTTTCTAATGTGAGCCATCTTGTCCGTTTGCTTCTATGCTCTAATAAAAGCCTTTCACATTTTGGAAGGGGAGGGGGGGGTATGGATAGTGATGGAATCATGGCTTTCACCAGCAAGACTTTCAGGGTTAGTTGAACCATGGGTGAAGGACCAGATCCTTCTCAACCCTCTAATAGTGAAAGATGGGCTTTTCAACACCCTTCTCCCTGGATGTGTTAGAAGAATTACTAGTTGATCCGGAGAGCTGTCACCTTATAGAAGCTATACCTGGGTGTGGACATAAAGCTGTGAATTCAGCATTTCATGAACAGATTGTGAACCAGAATGCTCTGGTTAGGATGGTCTTCATGTAGAAGTCAGGTTTGTCAAGGTAGTATTATTACTATTACTATTGCTATTATTATTATTGCTTATGCTATTGCTTCACTGAGAACTTTATGTGTATTACCTTTTTCTAACTTTGAGGGGAGCCCCTAGGAGATAGTTACTGTTATTATCTCTAAACTATAGATGTGGAAATTAAAAGTAAATACCTTGCCACAATTCAGTGTGAGAATAGAACTTGGCTCAGGTTTGTCTGACCCAGAGACCATGACCTTGCTATGGCCTTGAATTCAAATTTTGATTGTGTGGTCTGAATGTGTCCAGTCTGAAGTGTGGGCTCTCCCAACATGCATGAAGTCACCCTGTGTGGAGCCACTGCAATGTTGATGGTCCTTGTACCTGCCTGTTCACCTTTCCATTCCTAAGTGTTGCTTTTGCCAGTAGGCAAATTTAGGAACTTTGTGTATTATATATCTCTATTAGAGCAGTTTTGGTCCAATAGAAATTTAGTTCCAAACTTGATGATGACTTAAAAAAAGGTAAAACAAAATAAAATCCACACTCTTTTATTTTTCTTAATACCTTAAATTTCCAACTGGGAGTCTGAATAGATCTTGGTTGAATAAGTGCGCTTAACATTAGTCACTTGGCTTCTTTCTCCAAAGCATTAGAGTTTCGTTTTTTTTCTTTCACTTACAAAGAGATCCTTTTTCATTACTGATTACATATTCTTATATTTAAAATTATTCTGTTAAAATAGTATGGCTCTCTTTTGTATTGTGTTGGAAAACCATAGACTTAAGTCTCATTAGTTCCATCTCATTGGTGAAACTGAAAGGTGAAGGTTTCCAGAAGAAGTCTCCTAAAAATGAATAGGTGAATAGTGCTGGAGTCCTCAAATAGTCTTTGACTTTGTTTAGGTTGATTTGTGTACAATGTGCATTTTTGCATTTAGCCTTAAAAAAAAAAACAGCTAATGAATTTGGTTGTTCCATGGGAGACCTACTTGCCARCCCAGAGTCAATAGAGTTTCATCAATGTTTATATTATTTCTTGATTTTTTTTTGGTATTGAGGATTGAACCCAGGGATGCCCTACTATTGAGCTATATCCCCAACCCTTTTTATTATTTTATTTTGAGATAGGGTCTCGCTAAGTTGCCAAGGATACCCTCCAACTTGTGACTCTCCTGCTTTAGCTTCTTAAGAAGTGTGTGCCACTACACCCAGCTCTTCCTTCATATTTTATTGCAGTGTTCCTTATTTTAGCAGCTAGTGGAACAAATGGTAAGCAGAAAGGCACTTCCATTAATGATATCGTAGGTCTTGTAAATTTAAAACAGTTGATCCAAAGATAGGAATTGTTGGATGTATAAAAAGTGGAGATTCTTCAGCTTGTTCTTTCTTAGGTGAAGAAAAGAAAAAGAAATGAATGAGACATGTTAAAATATATCAAATTGTAACAAAATATTAATAAACTTCGGCAGCATCACAAAAATCTCCAATTTATAGCAACAAGAAGTCTTCAGGTTGATCTAGAGTGGACTTCTTGGGGTGGCYTAGTTTAGGTTCCAGTCTGTTCCATATATGCTCTGGGACCCAGGCTAAAGGAGTAGAAGCTATATGGGGCATGCCCTTCTTATGGCAGAGCATGGAGTCAAGAGCAAAGGCAAACCACACAAACAAATGTCCATTTCACTGACATCTCTTCCCCCCCCCCCATAAAGCAAGTCACCTGGGGAAGCTTAATATCTATAGATAAAAGTAGACTGCCCATTGTAGGGGAGAGAATATTTGAAAAACTACAATCCAGACTCCCATAGTGGGTACAAAATGTGGTGTCATTGGGGAATTTTGTAATTTCTCTCCTTCTTGGAGAATGCAGTCCTCATCTTCTTACTCCCACATCTAGCTTTATGATATATAAACATAGTGTTTAACTTTTCATTTCAGGAACATACCATATTTGATTTTAGAGGACTGATTATAAAAGCAGGTATGTGTATACACATGAATTACTTAAATTATTAAGGCACTATTTGTTAGAATCTACTGTGTTGCAAGAAATAATGTTCAATGCAGGGTGAACACAGTTTTAAACAGATGTGGGTCCTTTTAAGGAACTCATAGAGAGTTTACTTGGGTAAAATGGCATTTTCTTGGATTCTGGTTTGGAGATGCAGATACAGCAGTAGATACAGTAGTAATGTGAGTAGCCCATGCATATATAATGAGTTATTCCATTTGACCAGAGGCAAGAAAGGTGAAAAACAATAATAATAACCATTATAATAATAGTAGTAGTATTTATAGCTTAACTTTTATTGAGTGGTAAAGGCACTGTGCTTAGCACTTTCCGTAAAATATCTAATTTAATTTGGGGGTAGACATTGTTGATTGCCTACCTAATATTAATTCTCCTCCTTTTTACTAAAAGTACTTCAGTTTTATTTGAAATGGGGATATGACTACTTCCCCTTCCCAGACTCCTTAGCAGCTTAGAATGGACGTGAGACTGAGTTCTGATGATGATATAAGTGGAAACTATTGGGTGAGGGCTTTCCTGAAAACTTTATGAGGAAGAGACACTTGAATGGTAACTCTGCTTTTGTTCCCTGTTCGCTTTTGGGGACATCAGCACAATGCCTGGATTGACACAGCCAACTACCTCCATGAAGATAATAAAACCATGTGTTAAAAATGGCAAAGCCAGCTGTGCCTTTCATCCCAGCTATTTGGGAAGCTGAAGCAGGAGAATCCCAAGTTTGAGACCAAGCTCGGTAGTAAGACCCTGTCACTAAAGAAAAAGCACTAGAGATGTAGCTCATTTGTAGAGTGCACATGTGCAAGGTCCTCAATCCCCAGCATGATCTGGGTGTAGTGGAGGGGAGGGACAAAGTGGAGCCTAGATGGATTTTGGTCTTGATGGCATTTTTCATTCATAGTTGCAGCCTACACTGTCTTGCTTGTATTTATTAGTTCATGAAACAA